AACTCACTCGACAGATTTAACCCTAAACATGAAACTCACGTGTAACTCTCACGCGGTCATCACGTGTGATGTCCGTGGTGTCCGAAAAAAATGTGCTCCGTTTTGTACCTGACTAGACCCCCTGAACTACTAGTGGGGCATTCAACAGACTCAGCAGGATTTTCCCTTTCGGCATTGGTCACTCTTATGACACCAACAGAAGCTACTGTAAAAGAAGGAATTATGTACTTGGGCCTCTGTATTCCTGATGAAAGGTTTGTGGCTCCGTACTTTTGGTCTCTCCCAAGTATTGCATACTCAGACTTTGACCACCTGAGAAGAACACTTTTACGAAATCTGAAATATGACACACGTGACCTGACAATGTATAAGGATGGCAATGGCACTATGGTGGCCACCATCAATCACCTACATGAACTTATGGAAATATGTCTACAACAAGAAGAAGCAATACCGTTCCTGGCTCAAGATCTAGTGCTGATCAACTTTTTTGATCAAAGACCAGATACTGCCAACAATATTTTCCCTCAAAGTTGTTGAAATGCTAAAAAGTCATGTCAGAGGATCACAGGCTACATGCCTTTACATCATCGCAGCCTACCATCTCACCGAACAATTTTGTAATGTAGAATTTGGTACACCAGAACAGATCCAAATGTCTGTGTCTACAGGAATCACCATTTTCCGTTTATGGCGCAGATACCTTGAGTTGAAGAAGATGCGCCTACATGCTCTTCCAAATGCGTCCAAAATAAAGAAAAACAGAGGACATTTTCTTACTTATGGTGCTTACACGACTGCTGAACTAATCTTCTCTGCTGCTTCTTTACATTGCCTTGCAATGGTTTTGCACTTCAAGGAGCTTGGCCCATCACTATGCTCCCCTAACCGTTCTGGTACAATTTCAACAGAAAAAATCATTGGCCAGTTACAAGGGAAAACTACTAATATCCAAACTTTGGACACATCACCAACATTTGGCGATATGTTAAATCGTTCAAAGGATCTGCAATTTATAACAGAAGCTATAAATGACTTGTCCACCTATGAAGGAGTCAGAATACCATCAACTAGCAATAGGAAAACGTCAAATTTCCGTTCAACTAGCAACCCAAAACCTACAAACTACCAGTACCCTGACAGTTACCAGGAATTCCTTAAAAAGCAGCAGGATATGCATAAGAGGGGGTTAAAAGAGCACAGGAACTTATAAATAAGTTTCTTCCTGAGGATTTTTCAACTCTTTTAGAGTCACATGGGGTATGGGATTTACCTTATTCTTTCAAGAAGCCAACAGGTATAAAGATGGTAAGTGTAGGCCCTCCACCTAAAGAATACAATAAATTACATGTATCATTATCCTCAAGTGCTGATTCAGCAGCTGTCATTAGCAACACCGAGAAAGAAAATGCAACTGACATCGAAGACATGCAAGTGGAAGAAGAAGAACAACCAAAAGGGTCAACAACAGACAGCGAGGATAGCGATCCTTCATCACACACTTCTGTCAGCGATGTTGAAGATAGCGATAGTGACAAGGATGATCACAACAGTGATACAGGTGAAAGTCTCCCACCCGACATGAGATGGTATATTAAAAAGGATGGAAATAATGTGCACATCTCCAAAGCTATTAAAGTTCTGTTACCTAGGTAGTACATCTCAAAAGAATGATCCAGAAGACACTGGGTAGGAAAATCCCTTATTCAAGCTTGGAATAAGATAGATAAAAGTCATGATGTGATCAGGTTCCGGGACGTGGCTGTAAGGGTCAAAGACAAGGTGGAGTTCTTGCACATTCTCTCTATACAATCAGAGGAGGGGAAAGAACAGATAAGTGCAAATTCGAAAAATAAAGGGTCAGTGAGAGGTCGACCATACACTGAAGTAAGTCAAGGTAAATATGATGTTCCTTACAAGATTTCATTGACCGAGTGGATTCCTCTCAATAAAGTGCTTTGAGAAATTGAAATGGTGAAGAATGAGGATGGCACATCTTCATTATCTGAGGACAGCATTGCCAAACTGCAACTGAAGGAAAAAGACAGCCTGAAAATTGCTAGCACTGCAGATACAAATACTGATGATGACTACTATGAAGTGGAAAAGGTTTTAAGAGTAAGACTCAACAAGCAGTTCCACTCAGAAGAATACAAAGTTAGGTTTAAAGGGTACACCTCTGATGATGACATGTGGCTGCCGAGCTCTGCTTTTAAAGAGCCTGTCACTTTCCACACTGTTTCAAAAAGGGGTCGTCTGAGAAAGCACAGGATGAAAGAGGGATCATCAGCTCCTGAAACCCAAGGAAATAATCCAAGAAGGACTCCTACAGAGACTAACCTTAAAAGGAAATATGTCCACGAATTAAAGACAGGTAATACAAATAATCATTTTATACACCTGTATTCTTTTATAATCGCTATAATGGGAATTGGAGCAGATAACGTACCTCTCTATGTAGCCAATATAATATCTTATCTAATTTGTTTAAGATCACACAGAGGCAACAGCAGACATGGAGACTGATAGAATCCCCTGTAATCTAATGCTAATGTGCTAGAAATTGTTGATAGTAATCTGATCTGGGAGATCATGGTATCAATTAGATTGAAAGAAAGCCTCTGATACCTAATTTCTGTTCTTCTTTCAGAGGAATATACAGGAAGGAAGAAAATAAAGCTCTTGAAAGAAGACTCAACTAAAGGTATAATCCAATCCAACAAATCATGTTATGAATAAAGGGACAGCTAATCAAAAAGCCCGCACTAAAATATCTAAAGTATATAATTTTCTGTAAATTGTACACACTTCTCATTCTGTCTGGACACATTCCCTTAGTTAACAGTTGTGAGAAAGTTCTCTTTGCTCGTTCTCGCTTGTTTTTCTAAACAAATCACTGACAAAATGACCGAAGATTTATGGAAAGGAAAACGTAAAAGTAATGACTAATATTTCAAATAGAGTTAGTTAACTTTGTTAACCCCTCTTATTAATTTTCAATGCAATGAATATATTTCTGTATTACAGATGGCAAGGGAGACAAGGAGAGAGGGTCCAAAAGAAAAAAAGATGTCTCATGCTCTGCAAAAAGGTACTACATGTAAGAATTGTTTTATGACAAAAGACCTGGAACTACAAAGTTCTTTTCCATAAAAAAATCATAACCCGACAATACCCTGACTGCCTGAGGCCTAGATATTACATGGCTATTGTCATGGATGATTTCTTTAAGGTGCGTGTAGATTCATATGGGCTACAAAATAGCATAATAAAGGATTTAAAAACACTGAAGTGGCTCATGTCATGTTCTGGTATGTTCTCCTTACATATAGGTAAGAAGCCTAAAAAAGGAGAGCAATCGAGAGATGGAAGACAAACAGTTAACCAGATGACAGGTATCAGAGATGATTACCTGTCTTCAGAAGATGAAGAAGATTAAAAAAAACTGGTCACCTCTGCATCTAGCCATCAGGGTGACAGTGATCAACCTCTCTACCACTATCCAAGTCAACAGTGCGCTGGAATTGCTTTCATATCCCTTCTCTATAGCACCATTCTTCCAGTTGCTTCTTGGAAGAAATGTGATTTGGATAAAATGACGATAGTTGGGGACAGACTCCACTTTTTCCGTGTCTGTTGCCTGGGATACAGTACTCAATCAACCCAAAAGTTGCATGTTGACGAGTTACCAATCAAATTGATAGCTTTCAATTACGAATTTCGAGTAGAGAGAGATGTTTTTGGTTGCAACACAAGGCACGAGGAAGAAGAAGGAACAGAGAGTGAAGATGGTGTTTGGACCTTAGAAAGGGTCCTGGAAAAAAGCGTCCAAGAAAACTACCCTGGCCTTGTGTTCTTCAAATCCAGGACTACTGTGTGTCATGCATAAACAGTTATGGTGAGTGGTTCATGTTTGATTTACATGCAAGGGATCAAAATGGGATGATTGATGGAAATGGTAAAGCCGTCTTATTAAAATTTTCAAATTTTGCAGCGCTTGCCAAGCACATTAATGATTTCATAGAGGCAAATAATGGAACCAACTTATCATATGAGGCCTTGGTGTTAATCAAAATACAGCGCAAAAGTTGTACAACTAAAGATGAAACATGCATCAACTTTGTTCCTTCTGCCATCCTCACAATGTACCGATCAAAGTATGGGAATGTACAGGTGGACAGTGATAACCTTCAAAATTTAGAACAAGGATTCTTAATTGATGACAACATAGTTGACTTTGTATTTTTTTACAAGGCTGAAGAAATTAGTGTTGCTCCTTATATTTCAACAGACACACTGTACATATTCAGCTCATGTTTTCACAAAAAACTTGCCAGTTTCAATCCAAACAGGATACGAAATTGGACAAAGGGTGTAAATATTTTTTTNCAGGTGGACAGTGATAACCTTCAAAATTTAGAACAAGGATTCTTAATTGATGACAACATAGTTGACTTTGTATTTTTTTACAAGGCTGAAGAAATTAGTGTTGCTCCTTATATTTCAACAGACACACTGTACATATTCAGCTCATGTTTTCACAAAAAACTTGCCAGTTTCAATCCAAACAGGATACGAAATTGGACAAAGGGTGTAAATATTTTTTTGAAGGAGTATGTTATAATTCCAGTATGTACAGGTACACATTGGATGTTAGTAATTGTCAAAATCAACCGTGGTGATGGCGCCTCCATCATGATTCTAGACGCAGCAAATAGGCCTTCTCTTAGGTCAAACAAAATACATCGTCCATCAGTTGAGCGTTTAGTTAAAAACTATCTGTGAGATGAATGGGCTGCCAAAGCCACGCCAAAAAAAAAAGTATTTCCTTTGGGGAAGTGATCTACCCTGATGTCCCCCAGTAGCCAAATGACACTGACTGTGGTGCATATGTCATGAAATTCTTCTCAGAGTTTTTAAATGACCTTCCAATGGACAATTGGCCCAGATGGAATTCAGAGTTTACTCGTGATGAGGTAAGGCAATTGCGTACAGACATACACTTTTTACTTCAACAGCTTTCACACCAACAGTCAAAGGAAAGAAATCCTAAAGTTACAACTTCCCCATAAATCCACCATGAGCATCAAGTTTGTAAATGCCATATGCAGCTCAAGAATTTAGAATCAATGAATAATAATGGTGATTTTTGTTTCAAGTGTTACAGTTATGTTTTGTAGAAGGTTAACAATGACCTTGTCAGCCTCGATGTCTTGACGCAGAAAAAACAACGGCCTGTCCACATACCATTGTTTGTTGCATTCCGCCCCAGAACTACCCCTTAATGACGCTCCTCACGCTGTTCGCGCTTGCATTCGCTTCGGCTTCGGGCTTGCCTTCGCTCGCCTGTTATACAGGCTAGCAGGAGCCGATTACTGAGGCTGGCCAGTTAGCATGATGTGGGAATGGCTGAAAAAGAGATTTGCAACACAAGACTACTAAATTGAACGTACACTAATTTAGAAGCTTTTTTGGCGCATTCATAGAAGCCAAAATTTGGACGTCTCTTACAAACCTATATCGATCTTTCTCTCCGGCTCTCTTTTTTCCCTTTCCCTTTCTTCTTCTGTTGCTCCGGCACTTGATCGTCTTCCCACAGTCTTTGTTTTGGAAAGAATTTTGGCTGGCTAACTTTTCAGGAAAGGGACATTTAATTAATCTGTAAAGAATAGAAGGTGAATAGAAAAATTGGAAGTAGATTCGTTCACCCCAAATGTTGCTTTTTTTTGTGTGTGTAACTCTGTCAAGATACGTGAAGATAGGTGAAAATTTGGTGAATGAGGTACCAGTGGAAAAATCCATCCTTGCTGATTTGATCAGTTCATCATCCTGGTGAATAAATGGTAAGGTGAATGGGTTCATGAAGGATACCGTAAAATTCCGAAAATAAGCCGCTCCTTGTATAAGCACCTTCAAATATAGGTTCCCAAACTTGTAACGCAAAAAACTTCCCGTTCAATCGCCCCTCCACATATAAGCCCCCTGGGGCTTGTACTTGGAAATTGCTCTCAAATACAAGGTAAAACAAAGCAAAAACGGTAAATTTCCTTCCAACTATAAGGTTAGCCCAATCGATTTTGAAACACAAAATTCCCTCCATAGATAAGCCCCTCAAAAAGGGCCTTTGAAAAATATGAGCCGCGGGGCTTATTTTCGGAATTTTACGATATTCTTGGTTCAAAACAAAACAAAAAAAACACCAAAACGACCCCAGTCGGCAGTACTCCCTCCATCTGATTTATTTTTTCTATTGAGCATTCAATGAAGGTTTCAGCTAATCAATGGCACAATTACGGGTCGGTCCACTTGGCGATCTTTGACCAACTTTGGGTGTTCGAAATCATGTCTGGACTTAATAGTGTTGAACGCACGAACAGTGAAGAGGCAGACAGAGGAGGTGGAAGAATTTCAGAAAAGAAAGAAAAGGGGGCAATGATTACTTTAATCTTGTCTTTACTTACGTTATTTTTAATAAGCTAGACTTGGCAATTTCACCAAAATATAACTTTGAAAAACTTCTGAGAAAATTAACTATTTCGGATTTTTATTGATTGAAAACTTAGGGTCTGATGTATAGTATTAATGTATTAATGGCAAATCCCCTAAAATGCCTTGATGAATGAACTATCGGTACCATAAAAGCATGTGCCCACTCCAAGAAAGATGCATGGCTACGAAACTCATTCAGGTGAATTAAGTAAAGTCAAGTCATCTAACATGAATAATATTTCTTTACACACTTCATAAGCTCACATTTTTTTATCGTACCGGTAAAAATAAAGTGTGACTGTGCTGAGTTTGACAACAGTCACGCAATTGCAGAATACAGTACTCCAACACCCGACAACAATTTGTGAGCAACCTTAATTTTGTAATGTACAATTAAGAAGAGCTAACATACTAATTACAAAACATTTAACATTAGCTATTCTCTTGGTTATGCTATTCTTAAGCCTCAAATATTGCGTGATGCTGACAGTTACGATAGGAATATGCAGATGCATTATGCAAATTTGCCACATTGTGCACACCACAAACCTTCACAGCTATTTGTTATCAGGGATATCAATTTTCCTGATCCTTTACTTAATTTTAGCTTCATTTAAAGGTGCTTTCATCCTTTCTCCTACGTTTCAAATATACCATGAACCGAAACTAGAAAGAGAAGTCAGGCGGCATCATTTCTCTACAAATTTGACTTATGCAAATTTGTGACCTTTTGCCACTAGTGGTCACGAAATTGTTTATTTTGTAAAGGCGAATCTGGAGTACCCAGATTTTTTATTTCATATTCTGTTAATATCAGAGCTGAACTTTTTCCTGGTATACATTTTGGCTAGGTATCACACATACCAAGGTATGTTTTTGCCTCTGAAGTTGCTCATTTTTTACCCATTTTAAAAAGTGCACTTGGTGGTAGTTTTTAAAAAACCGTAAAAAATTCAAAATCATGTTTATGGTTTAAAACATACCATGGATAGAAAGAAAAGATAAAATGCTTTTGAACAAAAATATTTTTGTTCTATAGCTTTGAATCTTGCCTCGGTACCGACGCAATAAAGTAGGCCATTTTTACTCTAATTTTTGCATAATTAATTAGGTTAAAACCGCTATTTTCGTTTTTCCTCATTTTCTCGAACACTATAGATTCTTGAAAGTTAAAAATATTTTTTTCGAAGATGGTTCCCCAAAGGGGTTTTTCTGACAAATTATCAGAATTGTCGATTTTTTTAGCCTGGCCAGCGATTCTCGATATTTACAGTCATGGGCTCTTAATAAAGTTATGATTATTATTATTATTAAGTAACATTTAAATAACTGGGCAGTTTGTAATAATCGCCAAAAAAAAATAAAAGCCATTTTCATGCACGTTGCCAATGCAGGATGCTAAGGTCCCTAGTATAAAATCATTAATAATTCACTTAAAAGAAAATAACCAAAAACCAAAAATGTTCAATTACTGTCTTTACATTTGATACAGACAGAACAAAATGTTATGTCCAATTTTGTAGATTATAATCGAGGTGTGACTCTCATCATGTATTGATCTGTCCATAATCATAACAATTTGACTGTATATATACCGGGGGGTACTCCATATCAGTTTTCAGACCTGGCCTTTAAGCAGAAATTATGTTATGATTATTTGGATTAGAGTACAAACAAAACAATTCTTCAAATTCATTTCGAATGCGCATATTTCTCTTTCTTTCTTACTCATTTGGAATTGAAATGATAACTATATTCATAGACTCCGTCGAAAATCATGCCTGATTCAAGACTAAAATGCGCAAAGTGTATACCCGTTTTTGGACCAAAACAGCGCAAAAACCCTACCCAATAACGCGGCACATTGCTATATGGCTTGTATTAGTGAGTACTCCTCGCCTCGGCATATATGCAAAGCATCTACCAGGTACAGCACTGATCTTCAGTACGTGTCACGAAATCTCTCAGCTCAAATCGACTTTTGACTGTTTGTGTTTATTAATTTGAAATTTAGCCCATTTTTCCCCAAAATAGTATGATTTTAAGGCGATAGGTTCCTGTTCAAGGCCATTTTTTCACGAGTTCACTCACCGAAAAAGATTTTTCCGTAGCCTATGTACAGACGTACCAGCTTCCTCAGGAAAAATTGGTTGTAATGTTAATGCAATGATGCAATAATTTCCGGTGTTAATCTCAGAATAGATTCCCCGAGGAAAAGCTTAGCCTTTCTGGACATTCATATTTGTTTACCGGTATTTGTATTTCGGCACTCTGGAATAGGCATAAGAAGTTAAGACCACTGATGGTTGCTGTACTGGTTGCGCGTGCGTCTATCTGTATGAGTTGGTATTCTAAATAATGGAGAAAGACGCAAAAAAATCCAACGTTTACAGTGAAGCCAATTTAAGCTTACCCCAAAAGATTCTATTAATGAATTGATTATTTGAAAAAATGAATCTATTAGTCGTTCCCGTAACTGGTGTCAAAATTAAATCAGCATTCCTGTATAGGTAATGAGGAATAAACATTTTACCAGAATTTTTCTGCATTTGGTCACATTGGAAATCTTTGAATGGGTTTAATGTCTTAAAAGACATTTCCATCAAATTCAGGGAAACTAAGCTGATAGGAATTTCATAACGGAATCATTACGCATACAAGAATGTACACAGAAATGAATATGAAATCTACAACTACCAACGGATTCAACTTTTGAATAATACATTAATGGAATCTTGGGAGGTACACTTGACGTGACTTGAGTGTAATCAGATATCTTCTTATATCTGGATTTTTGGGTGGACATTGCTTGAAGATGTTCGGCTAGCCTGTGTACAGACGCCAGAGCTATATTTCGACCTACAGGTGCCAGTCATGATTCTGATAGAATTAGCCAAAAGTAAGGCTATTGTAATTTCATGCTGAAGAGAAGTGAAGGATATCCTTTACGTGAAACCAACTTGAAATCACCGAATAGATCAACTCCTGCACAAAACATTTGTCTGGAAATGTAAGCAGTGCTTCGGAGGTCAAAATTCTGTCTAACCAACAACTACAGGAAATCGATCCACAATAACAGACCGACTTTATCGGCTAAAAAAGACCAAAGATATTATATATTAAAATCTTCCAAAGCATAAAATACTCATTTTGAATGACATTTTATAGTGATTTTAGTTAGATATTCTACTTAAAATATTTGCGTACATATGTACGTGCTCTAAAAGAGACAGAGTTGTGTTGCTCTGTCAACACCTTTTTAACTGTCAGAGAAAGAACAAAAAAATAGTTTATGCAAATGTATACCGGAACCCGATTTACAACGGCAATTCACAGACGTCTCCTCTCTCGGCTACTTTTTTTTGGATGGTGTGTA